TCTGACGTTTTTTGAGCAGAAATCCCATATGTCAAAAGCATGCCCTACTGAAACATACTCAATTTTGCTACAATCTTGACCAAGGAAGTAATGATTATACACAGAAGATGTTTAGATTCCATGGGCGGTTTATATTTTAACAGCAATACATGTTTCAGAAGGACGACGGTGTAACTGAAGATTCAGAGTTTATCAAGTTTGCAACGAACACATGACCCCTAAAAACTTGTGGTCTGTGCTGCAAAACGGCCAAGTACGACTGTAAGAATGATGAAAGTAAGCTAACTACGACCACATTTTCAGATAATCCCACTCATCGAAGATTAGTGCTGAGCCAGTCATGAAAGAAACAGGTTAGGTTACTCGTGGTTTTGCTATTTCTTCAAAAGATTGTAGCTTTCTCTTCGCACAATCAAAATGTTTTTCAAAATTGAGTACAAAACCAAGTTTAGTCTATTACACAGTATTTTGCAAGTACCCTAATTTCACGCGTACAAGGCGCACTTTTTCGAATTTTCAAGCGAGCCGCTCAGCCGCTTCACTGTATTCCGGAAAGAAATCCATGCATCGCCCGACTCTCTCAAGCAATGCACAGCACGTTATAGGGCCATTTGGTTGTAAAGTCCTCTGGCTTGTCTGGGCTGGTCGATTTTGAACAAAAAAATACCCCGCGCCTTATACGCGTGAAATTAGGGTATATTGCATGTTGTTTAGGTTCGACTGTTACAAGGTGCGGAAATCGAGCCAGTGCAAGGACCCGTGAAAATCCAGCTGAATTTGGTAGACAAGTGTAAAAAATACGAGTGTTCTGTGCGAAGAGAAGAACGGACGTGATTTTTGATGGCTTACTTGAAGGAAAACTGAGGTTACAAGACACTCACACTATTCACTATTTGTGCGCCCGTCGAAGCTTATAATGTGAGTTTGTGAGGGAAATTAACCTGTACACAACTCAGAGAATGACTAAACGGAAGAACTGCACCGCCTAGCTAACCCAGAAAGAAGAGCTTGTCATTTAAATGTTCAAAGATTTTATAGCGTCTCCCAAAAATGTAACTTTCAAAGGCCAGCTGAAAGCCTTAGAACTGGAATTTTGACAGAGAATCAGGGGCAACCTCAGCGTCATTTATATTGAAAAAAAGGAAAAAACCTTTTAAGGTGAGCTAGAAAATTTTTCGCTGAAGGAAAAAAGTTCTAATCAACCATTTTCAGTCGATCTGATTTCTATCGAAATCGCTATTTCCAACAAATTTTTGAAACTCACTCCCAGCCTTTCCTGCTTTGACCGCCACCCATCTAAACCTTTTTTGTGCTATGGCTCGGTAAAAAATCTTCTGATATAGCTCACTTACTGGAATACGTACTACAAACATCACCATCAACGAAACGATGACAATTTAGCTGTGTTTATATTTCTTGGAGTGCCATAGAAAAAAGTGTTTAAATCCATTTTTTCTTCACTCTCGACTTTATTTACCTGTTTCTACACTGCCAAGATAAAGAGCCAAATTGCGACGAGAGGATCAGTGTAAAAACGTAGATTTCCAGGCAGCAGTGAAGGTAGGTTAACTCAAAATGCTTACAACAAGAAAGTATGACAACCACTTAAACAATGACGGTAGGGATATTCTAACAACCGAACTTGGTGTGAAAACATTATTAAATATGATATACCCGCAACTGCGATTCTTGTCAATATACTGGGCTCTTCCAAAAGTTTTGTCCTTTTTGGCTTTAACTTCGATAAATCAGTAGTACTTGCTCTTTAAATGAGCCGTGTGATGCCTTTTGATATGATGAAGGAAGCTAAGAGCATTCTAAGAGCATTGCAAGAGAACAGCACTTTTACCATGGCAAATAATACGGCACATGCTATTGGTAAAATTTATAATTCCTTTTTTAAACGTCAAGGTTAAAGGAAAGACGTTGTATTCCTAAATAACATGGAGAGCTGATTACTTATTGGAAGAAATAAATAGTATTGATTTGGACTGTCCTGAAAATAGTAACTTCTTAAATGCATTATTCTGCTCATTTTTCTTAGGTAAATTGTAAAAAGACCTGCGGTTTTTGTGACGAAGAAGCAACCATCACTGCTCAAACTACTGCATTGGCACAACAGACTACAATCACTAAAGCACCAGCAAAATTAGGTGATATTCTAATTCAATGGAAAGATGTCTGTTCGAAGTAAGTGAAGCTAGAGCGAATCATCCGGTTCATTAATCCAATACTCAGTGATTGTATGACGTGTTAATGAAGATGCTTGGCTTTCTCGAATTTGAAGGTTATGAAAATTAAGGCTCACAACATTCAAGTAACGATAGCCATTTCTGAACAAGCACTTAGTAGACATCGCTGGAATACTTCTCAGAAATATCCTCTATGATTTTGCAATTAGAAAACACTTTTAGGCTACATTAATTTTTGTAGCTTTTACTTCTGACTGCGAATTTATCATCTCCGATGATCTGTAAAAAGCAGAAAGGCCATAGAACTGCAGAGTCTCAAAAAGAACACATATAGTCGACCTTAGATTTTAATACAAGTAAGCTCGTCAACAAGAGCAATGATAACACCGCTAGGCTTTATTAGCGCACACTATCACAAAGTGCAAAAATGTGTCCATTGTTTGATCATTGATAGCTCCTTTGCTGAAAGCTTTCGGCAATCAGATACTTTTTTGCAAATCTGGCGTCGACTTAGATAGCACAGGATAAACTGTCATTCTCCTTTGCTACTGTGGCTCCTTTCTTTCGGAGTAGGGAGATAGACAAGCCAACCTTAGTCTAATCATGTTGCAAACATTTTAGGGTAATGCTTAGCACAATTACATATTTTGTTGTAAGAAAAAAAGAATATCAAATCAGATCACCCAGAGCTGGTATAACAAAAGAGCAGCAGCCTCCACATTTCGACGGCGATCTCACAGTTAATTGGCTATACATCCAATTTGATCGCTATATACAAGGTGTTCCAAAGCATGTATATGTTATTATCGTTAATACATATCTCTTTTTCCAAAAATTTTTGACTTAATTTCAGGTGCCTATTATAGAGCTGAACTTAAATTTACTGTTTAAAGCGAATCTCTCTTCATTATGGTGAATTACTGTGAGAATTTGGAGAGGGTGTGAGCCATTGAAAGCCATATTTTGCTTCAGAAAGAAGACCAAAGTACTGTAAAGTTGTTGCATTAGGCTGAATAGAGTTGTTGATCCGGAATATAAAATTTGCGTTCTACCGTAACGTTTCGTTAAAAAGCTATACCAAGTATGTTTAACGACCGTTCAGTCGCCGTTCCTGATTACCCAGGTTAAAAGGCTTTACAGTCTTGTGCAAAACTGGGTATTGAGATAAGCGCGCTTAAAAACCTTGGTTGCAGTTGCTTTCAGTTTTTTTTTTCGGTTCATTCAATGGAAGCTTTTCGCTGTGGAGCTAAGCCAGCTCCGCAAAGTGGTACCTGAAGGTGGAAGAGAGATAGTAACGTTTAAAAGTGTATACATACTTTTGAGACACTCTGTGTTAGTTCAGAGTAAACAAATTTTCAATGCAGGGAGCATTCGAGTGAGCTGGACGCAGCTCATCTATCACTGTAACTTTAAGTCATTTTGTGGAGATGACTTCAATGTGCTCGAACATCATTGGTGTGTGCGAAGTTATTTTGCATGAATCTGTTTATTGCTTGCTATAATGATGTGATACAACATCAGCATCCATTCGTCGTTGATGGCAACGTACGGATAGGCCCTGAAGCCACATTGCACGTGTAATCCAGTGTTTTCAAAAACAACACTGAATTGATGTACGATGCTACTGGGGATCAGAGTTGCGACAGGGAGAGCAATGGATCTTATCCCCCCCCCCACGTTTGAGCCAGAACCCGGATGCCCCCTTCACCTGAGGCTGATTTGGGAAGGTAATCTGAGAGCAAATCATGATCAAAAGTCTATTGGGAATTCACCTCAGTCATGAAACACAACGACCACTTATTCCATAGTAAGAAGAATTTCTATTAGTTACAATAAGAATTATTACAGTAGTTGCTTTTTTCTCACAATCAATGGCGTCTACGATAGATATGTAGCATAAAAAATTAACTAAATTTGACTAGAAATAACTTGGGGATATGAACACCCCAAAAAACGAATATGAAGGTAAAAAACATCTGAATTTTTTTAAGAACTTAAATGGTCGATGCTTGTTCGCTGCCTCTTTCTTCCACGTTTTTTGGGAAAAATTTTTTGAGCATATTTATTTTCGAGCCTTAAAGTTTCCTAAGGCTTGTCACAGTTTCAAGACGCCAGATATGTACGAACAGGTAGACGCCTTTGCTTGTGAAAGAAGCAAGTAAAAATCAATCAATAAGTAAGTCTATTTTCATGGTAAGTCTACCAAGTTGTCGATGCTCGTAAAAAAAGGTCTTGTTAAAGACTGCAAAAAACAGCTCAGTGTGATGCGCAGTGATTACCGTGAATAGTAAATGACTACGATAGTAAAATTACTTTTTTCATGAAATGGAAGGGATTTGAATGCATTTTTTTGTCAGCTGAAGCGAATCAGTAGATATATGTATAAGTCAGATAAATTCCTCATATCTTACTGCTAAGAAAAAATATAAAAAAGCCTACGGCCTAGGTCGATTCGCCAAATCTCAGCTCCCGAACGGTATACAGCTTGTTGACGCATCGGACTTTCCAGCTTTGAAAAAATGCTTGCTCCAGTGATCCATAAAAGCCAATACATTGGAGGAGCTGGGTGGAGCAAGCTAGTATTAATATCTCCGCCCCATTTTTAAAGACTGACAAGTTTTTTCGCCCAGCAATCTATGTACCATTCGAAAGCTAAGGAAAATGGGATTCGAGGAACGCCGTCGACTTTTTTCTAGCCCCCTCTACCGAGGGATACACTGCATTTTATCTAAAATCATGTCCATTTTCAACAGCACATTTCTGCCAAACAAAGACCTAATTACTGCTGTTTATCTATCTATTTTACAGGGCAAGCTTTCGTTAACAAACGTAGACCGTCGGCTTTCTCGTAGCATTCATTTGGAGAGCAGAAAGTGAGGACCCAGATTGAGTTGATATATGAAGTACATAAAAGCCATCATATCTCGCGGCAAAGAAGACCTAAAAAAAAGTCAACGGTCTACGTCAATTCTACGTGACCTCAGCTTTCGAATAGTTTACTTGTTGGAGTATTTTGTTTTCAGGACTCACTTACCCCTTTCACCTTACAAGGATGGGAGTAGCAGAGACCACCTTCACCTGGAGAGGGCCAGGCTCCCCCTATCGCACTTATGTTGGGAATGCAATAAGGTGAAGTCTGCTTGCTCCAACACGCTTGAAAACTAGGACATGTGATTGACATGTGATTTATATACAAGGCGCGAAAAAGTTTCATAAACAGAAACTATTTCATACAAATTCAAATGTTGGAACGCTCAAATTGCAACTTTGTATTGAATGCTAAAATAAGCTTATGTTCTGGCATCTCACAACGAATGATAAAAACGCAATATTGCTTTGGCGGTGAAATTAATGGGTGCTTGAGCGAGAACTTATTTACGCCGTATGTCAATACCTTGAAATTTTTACGAGTATGATAGAGAAGGCGTTGTGTGTAGAATAAACAAGCTCTGCTGGTCTTTTCGCTATCATTTTGCCATAGGTCTAGGCTATGATTTTCTTGTTCAGCCAAAATCATAAAAAGGTGATACCACCCAAATATACTATGTATTGAAGGAAATCATTCACTATTCGCTATTTTATCGTTACCAAAAGCGCTGGTGACATTCGCGCTACAAAGACCTCTTTCAGATGCTGCGTGCATAAAAGATGGTCCTCGTCGCTTTTTTCACTCAAGCAAGTGATTTGATTCTCGATCCAAATTGAACAACACTCCGTGTGCACGTACATGCCCATTGGGGAGAGAATGGAAGCGGTGAAGAGACGCCTTATATTTTGTTGCTATAAAACTCTGTATCTCGTTTCCAGCATGTTTCGGAAACTTCTATTGCAACTTCTATTATTCTTCCGTTGTTTCTAAACTTCTATTGCCTAAGCAGTATGCCAGCCAACGCTGAGTTTCCTTCAGAAAATTTGTTTGGTTCGCTGCAGGATCATGCAAAAGATCATTCATTCTCAAAGTTGTTTGTCATCCACAACCTCAGTGGAAACATTGTAGTTGTGTCGAGGATAATATGACAGGAATCTGTTTATTCTGCCCACCATCTCTTCTTGGGGTGCGCCGCGCAGTCTGGCTCAACTCTAATATGTGACTTCCTAGATAGATCTTGTACCCTTGTCAACGGGGTCGGCGGTTGAACGCTGAAAAGATCAATGTTTTGCTCGGATGCTGTTTTAAAGGTGCCCCCATAAAATTTCCCTGCGCAGATGGCGCGGTTTTGATGTACGCAAAAAGAAATCGGAATGAAGTTCGAAATGAAAGAGGCAAGATTGATGCTGCGTGGGATGAAGTTGTATTTTGTTCATTCTAGTTTTGATTAGGCCCCGCCTTCCATCCGCTAGTCCCGTTGCATAAAAAGTGGTTGTGTTCTCTTTCAACTTGGATTAAACTGTCTTTAATCCTTGTTTGCATCCGCGTTTAAATAACAATTGCACAAGTAAAGAGTACTGTCCGATTAAACAAGCGTAAGCTTGACGAAGTCGTCTCAAATGGAACGCTTGAAAGCTTTTGGCTGCAATGAAATAAGTCCAGAAAGAAAGGTGTGCCTTTTCTCTATTTGTTTACGCCATCAATTTTACAAAACAAATGAAACAGTTTTCACAAAAGTTCTTCAATCCATTTTTCAATCCACAGTTTCTTCTAAATATTTTCTGATACTGTGAGTGCATCGTTTGATTTGTAGTAATGCAGGCTTGCTGTGGATGTACTTATCTTGACACTTCGTTCAGCAGCGCATCAATCTATTCCAATTTTTTAGTCGAAACAAATTCTAAGGAGAAGGGGAAGATACTTGATGACCGTGGCTTTCGATAAAAAATTTGCATAGTTGGAAGCAATGGATTTGAAGCTGCTTCCGACCTTGTAGTGCCCTTATATAAAACTTATAAAAGTTGCCCTTATATAAAAGTTATCATCTATATATATAAAACTCAAAAATTGTCAGTTTGGAGGGTATGTGCGTTATAGAAACGCGCGCCACTCAACCGATTCAGCTGAAACTTCGCGAACATATGTTTTCGACCCTTGCGCAGATGATAGGCTACTTTTTGCGGCAATTCGTTGGGTCCTTCTATCGATGTATTGATTTGTTTACATTTTCCTAAGGAATTGAAGGGTTAATCAATCAAGCATTTTCCATACTCATGTAAAGGAGGGCGGTGAAGCTCATTCTCACCTCAGGATCACAAGGATGCGGTTTCCAAGCGGATGTCTCAGGGTAAGTCATCTATACCATATAGGGGGGGGGGGGCTCGCAGTGCGTGCACCATGGCCCGGGCTGGACCGGGAAAGCCAAGTAGTACCTTATAAGCGTGTTCTCATCAAAATGTGTGCTGTAACAAATCATTATAAGGCGTAAGTTACGCGGTAATAACGGCTTCCCAGAAAAATTACCCTAAAATCCGGCATATAAGTCCGCCTCTCAGATAAGACCGCAGAAGAACTCTCAGTTAAGTCCGCTTTCGTGACAGCCTCGCGCCGCCAAGTCCCGCGGATAAGTCCGCCTTATTTTTTCACATGAAAACAAGAAGGATGCGCAATTGCGCTGCCTTTTTTGGTCTCCAAATGAACCGAAGTAACAAATCTTTATTCAGTTTCCATTCCATGTTTATCATCATCAAAACGTGGCTGACCGATGCTGGTTCTTCTTCTAATGACTAAGTTCCTTTTCATCATAAGCCGTTTGCACCACGATTCCATTGCCTTGGAGTACTGCCGGCCAGATTCCTGCGCTAGCTGCAATGCCTTCGCTCGAATGTCCTCGACAAGCACTGCTCTGCTTGCTTCCCGCCTCTGCACAATCCATGCATAGACAGCTTTCTCGATCTCCTCTACCTTTTGCTTCCCATAACGGTTGGCGCGTTTCCTCAGTGGCATATCCTCCAAATTCTCCTTATCGGCCTTCCATCTTTGAATCAGACGTGCAGAGACTTCGCAATGAGCAGCTGCAGCCGATGTCCCATGTTCCAAGGCATATTTATAGCGTTAAGCTTGAAAAGCGTGGTGTAGGACTTCCTTCTAGTAGCCATTGCGATCCGAAACACCTGAACAGCTTGAGTCACAGTATGTGAGACTATGACGGAAATATAGGGCTCTGCGTGATTGCGAACTTCGCTGAGTTAGTGGTCATTGCACACTGGAATCACGCAGAGTCCTATAAATTTGCGTTGATCATCGAAAGGTTTACTCTTTTACAGGAAAAGCAGGCGGCATCAAATTTGACTACACTATCTTTTGTCTTGGGTGTACGGGCTTGATGAAACAACAATTGAGAAAAAGAACAAAGAAGCCTAATGCTTTGCTAGGGTTGAGCGTTTTTAGACTGCCACTCTTCCGTTCATTAAAGCATTTGACAAAAGCCGTAGTGAAAAAACAAAGCATTACAAAAGCCGTATGGCGTGGGTCAACAGAGACTACGTTCACACCATGAAAACAATAGAGGAAGCAAAAAGTATAGGCAGTCAGGTTCAAGGGTTGTAGCCTGTACAGGTTCGAGAGATGTATTGAAAACATTGTCGCCTCCAAAACGATAAGATGAATGATAAGATGAGATGATTGCAATGATACAATGATGAAACCTATTATGATTCTTTTCATCGGCAGAAATCGCTGAATTTCGTAGAGGTGTCATATATAGGAAAAGAACTCACCTATCTAGCGTACGCGATGACGAAACCGCGGCTGTATTCTGAGCAAGTAGCTTTCACTGCTCTTCAAGTCCTCAGACGGTTCTTTTCAGGCGCTTTCACGGCTTGGTTTGAAGCACTAAAACATGTGATATCCAAAACAACTTCTCTGTAGCCTTTTGCAAAACTACGAGCCGTTTGTGTCTTTATACTTCGTCAATTACTGCTTGGAACAGAGTATGCGCGACGATCAGCGTTCTAAAAAAGCTTTGTAGGAGATGCATGTACTGTAGTTAGCCTATATCAGAAATCTCCCCACCCTAGTATTTGCTGACAGTAGGGTGAAATCCGACCTTACCATCGTGTAATCAACTTCAATACAAAAGAAATGTCATATTAAAGAGAAGAACTCACCTATCCAACGTATGCGATGAAGAATCCGCGACGATACTGCCAGCAAGTAGACTGTACAACTTGTCGAATCCTTGGGCTCTTTCTTTCAGGCGATATCGCGGCCTCGTTTAAATCTACACTGGCAAGCCACGCGGGCGGTCGCGCGCATCTGTGCTCCTAGGTCGCGCTTGCTCATGCTCAGGACAGACGGACGTATCTGTGAGTGGATTTAGGCGGACTTATCTGGGAGACCTTTTGGCGGCGCTGAGGGCGTTTTTCCATCGATTTTCCTGCCAAAACTGCAGATAAATCCGGACTTATATGCCGGATTTTAGGGTAAGTCAAATTGTGCTTATACAGACTGCCCCAAGTACGTCCGGGTTGTTTGAATTGCTATTCCGACTGAATCGTCGTTGTGAAATTAATTTAAAAAACCATTCCATTTCAAAGTGCATTTACTGTTACACATCAAATGTGAACCATAATGATCAGGTACCTCACCATTGTAAGGATTCAAGGAATGTTAGTATTAATATAATATGCAAAGCATTAATAGTCAGTTTGTATTACAATAAGGCTCACTAACTTGAAGTGAAGAGTACTGAGACCTATCTAACAAGAGAAGTACTTCCATATCTGGCCATTTGATTTGAGAAGCATATCTTGAAGCAGTCTTGAACGCTGAAAACAAATCTCATTCCATTTCTGGTGAACGCTCTTCTGAAAAAAGCTATGGAAGCCGAAAATCTAATTTTGGGAGCCCTTTGATACGGACACTGCCAAGTATGTTAACGGTGCAGTAATGTAGTGGAGTAGTGGTTAACGCGCTGGCAATGGAGTCAAGAGGTTAAAGGTTCGAATCCGGTGGATACAGTAGCGTACTCAGGATTTCCGTTTGAGGGGGGGGAGACAAAAAATTTTTGCTGGCCCTGACCCCAAAATTTCAAAAAGGGAGCGTGGCGGCAGCCAAAATCAATAAGATTTAAATTGTTTGAAACTTTAATTGGCCTTGTTTGGTACTTTAAGTTTTAAACAATTGTTTATTCTTATTGATTTTGATGTTATTCCATGCAAACCAGAAAATTCCCTTTTTTCAAACCAAATATGCCAAAAACGTTGCTGTTAGTGTCTGCAGACAGTTAAAGTGCGTTTAAACTCACTGTAGAAGGGTTCGCTCTGCACCGGAATCGATTTCTTAAAAGCGCCGTCCACCCTAATTTGAGGGTCTTGAGCATTTGTAGCATATGATAGTAGGGCTCCTATCAAGACGTCAAATCACGGCGCAAAATGTCGCTTTGGAAGCGAGAAAAACGCTTTGAAATAATAAAGATGCATGAGGGCACTCAGACGGCACCGCTTTCTCCATCCATGCCCACCCATCTGTGCGCGCCCAGCCAATCACCGTTCCGGAAAGCCGGTCTGCGGATTCTCCTAAACGGGATTGCTGGGGATTGGATTACTTTTAGTGACACCGTTCCGCCCAAAATGGGGTCAATAAGATTTCGATGATTAACAGTTGCCGGGCCCTCAATTGTATAAATGCCCAACTCCCACTGTCTGAAGTTGCTTGCAAAGCGAGAAAATCGTTTCGAAAATCCTTTGAAAGACAGATTCGCCATTAGTTCCTCCATAGCAAATGGGCGCGTCGTCCGTCCATCAGTGGTTTCGCCTAAAAGGCGCAAAGCTCCAGAAATTGATCGAATCTTGCGAGAGTGCTGCTTCTGCCTTGCCTTGCCCGCGGCTGGCACGCGACTGACCGGCAAACGCAAAGAGTGTTCGTCTACTAACTTGGGAGCACATCCAAAACTCAATAATTTGAGACTTTCGTTCAATTTTATGCGCGAATTTGGGCAGCGGAAGAAGTGCTGAAAAGTACAAACACTTAAAATTGAGGATTTGGTGGACGGTGCCCATAACATCTCAGTTTCAGTGCCGACACTGCACTACTGCATTGACGTATCGTTGATTTGTTGAGCGCACGGACTGCTCAAACCTGCGACCACGAGCAGCGCGGTCAAATTGTTACGAGAGCACGACTTGTACATTAGCGAATTTGTACTGGGCAAGCGTTTTGT